TATAAATAATACATGCTAGTAACACTTAGTAGGTTACCAGGAAGTAATCCTTCACTGGATTACTTCAGAACAGTGTGAGGTACAGCTAAAGAAGTGCAGAAATGCATTTCAGGAGTGTTTTGCAGATCATTAGGTGGGCCATTATGACCCATAAGTAGGTTAAAAATTATTAATAATTGAATATTCCTCAAGACTAAACTATGAACTCACTATTTAGATATTTCAAGCTTTTTAAAAATATATTTAGTTAAACTTTGTTTTTAAACATACATTTTACAAAGGGAAAAGAAAAGCTCAAAATGTAATCCAAAATGATTTTTAGACAATATGTGTTGGTAAATTATAAATATAGAAATTTTAATGTAGATAATATATAATAAAATATTGATAATATATATTAACAAGCAAATATTAAGGATTGAATAGATCAGCACATTAGTATGTGAGAATATAATAATAGAAACCTGTACTTTTATGATAAAAATAAATGTATATATATCATTTTGTTCTGAGATATTCAATTGTTCAGAATTGTTTAAATTTTTTTTAGTTGTAGATGGACACAATACCTTTAYTTTATTTATTTATTTTTATGTGGTGCTGAGGATCAAAACCAGCGCCTCACACATGCTAGGCAAGTGCTCTACCACTTAGCCACAAACCCAGACCCTGTTCAGAATATTACTGATAAAAATATTTTTGTAGTTTCATAAATAGTCAAAATATTATTAGTACTTTTAAGTTATTAAATGGRAATTCATTACTAGGTTAATGCTAAATAATAAAAAAATATTTTGAAGAATGTAATTTTCCCCTTGTAGTAGAATCTTGCCTTTAGAATTATCCTCTTATTAACAATTTTCATAATTAAAATTTATATTTTTTTACTTCCATTTCTCCTAGAAATTTTCTAGGCACTTAATTAAAGTCTGACAAATAATTGGTTTGAAAATTTCACTTATCTCATTGGCTTTTGGCTAAAATTTCATCAAAAGCACAACATACTGAAAACTAAACACCCTGTTGAATTCTGCCATAAGAGTTTGATCTTCAAATTTATAGCAAAATCTTTTAAGTAGAATAAAAGCAGTACATTAATTTAATAAATTCAAATGATTTCTGCACCAAARCAATTGAAATGCCATTCTTCTTCTTTACTAAACACTCAGAATCAAATCCATTTCATGTAATATATACATACTTTGTTCAAAAGCTATTTAATTTTAAAGTACTTACCCCAAATTGGTTTCTGGTTACTTACTGGAATGTTAAAGCTGAATGTGCTTACTGGGAAACACTTGTTCATGGAACACCTGATCAGTCAAGGCCAAATCTATTTGTCTTGAATATTGCTTTATTAATTCCTCTGGAACCACAACAGGTGCTCACTACATTTGTATGAAAGAACTAACATGCCAAAGTAATGACCAGTGATAAACTTTGCAAGAATTGACAAAGAARACAATTTTTAAAAAATATTAAATTTATATTATTATTGTACCCATTATTTGCTTGTTTTAAAAGTAAAAACAGAATTATGAAGTATGTGCCAGTGGTTGTAAATTTGCTGGTAATTAGTTCCTTTTGTTTMTCACAGGGCTCCAACATCAGATTACCAATGTGCCCCATCATAAATATTTCAGAATGCCTGTGAGAAACAGAATAAAGCTAAACCAAGTCCACAATGCAGAGATAAATTACTGCTGCATTTATAGAGTTCTCAACAATTCATCAAATTATGAAATAGTCATAGGAGACTCCTGTGGATATGAGACCCATTTAAATTTTTAGGAAAAGCAATGGATGTTGAAAAAGTGTATTCTTTAATAGCAAAAAAAAAAAAAAACAGGATTACTGATTTACCAAGTTATCCCTATTTACCTATGGTTAGTAGATAATAGTCTATTAACCATAGGTAACTTGATAATGAACACTGATATTACTTTTGTATGCTTCTAAAATTCTACATGWTTTTCTCTACAAACAGGCCATTAATTTAAAAAGTACACATAATTGAATGGGTTTTTAATTTCATTTTTGTGGTTCAAATCAATCACCTCACTAGCAATTAGATATTGAACACATTACATTATTCATCAGTGGCCTCTGAGAAAAGAAATGAAAAATCTGGCCCACTGTCAATTCAACAAATATGTCAATACTGATGACCAAGCAATATTATTTTGGAAAAAAATGTATGAGAAAGAAACAAAATGAGTATATATAGACATATGTGTAGTATATGTATTCAATTTTATAAGGACTTCATCTTTAAATTTCTTCTTCAAGGACCTTGTTGATACTTTTCAGTTTCTAATAGAGCTATGACTTAATTCTAGACTGAGAAGCCTGTTATAAACCATAATTTCCTAATTATTATTCTTAATAACTATATAAGCATATCCAAATGTTGTCTAAATCTTGTGTTTTATTCTGATATGACTTTCACTAAACTACACATATTTTTTCTAGCTTCAACTTAACATCATTAGAGATAATTGTCCAAAAACAGGGAGGTGCAACACAAGAACACAATCCTTATTTATTCCACACTGTGATACATAAATAATATGTCTGAATGTCCAAGACTATCATTCAATCAATGCTTTTCTACACATGTAGTGACATCAGAAAACATTCATCACCAGCACCCTTGGCTACCAAATTATKATGTCTGTACATTACTCATATCATAATGTGATTTATTCAGGAACAGGCCATTACTTTGCCTTCCAATGGCATAGACAGCCACTCTGTCTTATTAAGATCATTTAATGAAGCTGTTCTGTGAGGAACCATATTAGTGCAGTTCAAGCAAAATGTGCATTTTCCTGGCTTTTGGGGAGCAAAAAGCAATAACCATGAATTTCTCCTCCCTGGCTTAAGCTCTTTTAATAGACAATAAAGATACCAAAATTGTCCATAAAATATTACTGCAAAGCTTTTAAATGTTTTTCACAAATCTGTTCCTTGTACCACTCTTGCTACTAAAAAAATCAGAAAAAAATTATTCATAATGAGGGCCAAAGTGTCTTGGTATAAATTTCAACACCATTGCCTCTACCACTGAAAAGAAATGAACTTAGGAACATACATAAAATCGTTATCAAGGGATCACAGTTACAATCCCATAGCCTTTCTTAGAATTTGATAGTACTTTTTTTAGTAAAAATGTCCTTAATTCCAAACTTTAAAAACCTAAAAGCAGGTGTTGTCATCAATAAAAAAGCTTTTTTTTCCCAACTAAGCATGGATTAATCTCAATTTTTCTCTGTCATTTTGCTACATATATTTTGATAAGAGGAAAATGTTCTAAAAAGAGAAAASGTTAAATTATATTTAGTGTAAATCTGCATGCTACAAACAAGAATTGAAGATTATGACACATCCTGTTTTAGTGTGACAAGTTCCTTTCACTGTAGAAAAATGGATCTCAAATAATTGAATCTAAATGTTAATTTCAGAAGCAGTTTATAATGTCTCCAGTTCTATCCGCAGTTGACAAGCAAGACCCTGATAGTTGCCTAGCACAATTAGATGCTATTAAGTATGAAAGAAGAGCAAGACAATAACTAAATGTCTGTCTCCTTTTTGTGGATGCTTTTGTTCCAAATTATTTGAAATATTAAGATTAAAAAAACTTTCATAACGTTAAAAGCTCTATTCTCATTAAAGGTACTTGTGAGACAGCTCCTTTTAATTCATTTCACAGAAGAGGTCCTGAAGTTAATTAAGGATGGAATTAAAGTTATATACAGGATAGAGATTTGCACACATGGTAGGCTATAGAGAGAAGTTCTGTCTACACRAACCAGACTAATTCAGACTAATCACTTCAAACAAAGACATCATGAGGGACAAAAAGTAAAGCATGTCTAGCAAAAGACTTTCCAAATTATACCAGAAACACTAGTGGTATCTTTCAATTTCTACTTAATAAACCAACACGTTTAATGTGACTCCACTCTAGAAAGCTGAAGACAGAGTAAGTGTATCTTATTTAAATATGAATACCCAATGTCTAAAACAGTTCCCTGAATGTGCTTTCCGTAACTGAATGATGGATGGATGGATGGATGGATGGATGGATGGATGGATGGAAGGAAAAAAATCCTTCACAAAACAATGGATACTCTTGTTACATCTCTTTAACATCTTAATATTCCTTTAAATTTCTACAAATGTGACTCATATTTCACTTCACTGCACTATCACCAACCTATGATTCATAAATCATATGCTCTGAGTTTGAAATGATAGATTATACAATCAAACTTCCCATTCAGTGTAAGAATTCTCTGAAATAGCCCTGTGAGAGAGTTATTTTTGCTCAAACTCACAAGGAATCCTTTGTCCCAAGACTAGTTTTCGCAATTTTAAAAAAATAATTTACTTAGAGATATTTTCAAATTTACATGAAAGTTGCAGGTCTAGTGCAAAGACCTACTACCTTCATGTTTCCCCCTCTTTTGTTTTCCCCAATTACTATCACTTACCATATTTTTGTAATTATATATATATGATTATATATATCCTTGATGACAGATAAATGTTTGTATATATTTTATACATGTAATAATATTTTCTGAATCATTTAAGAGCAAGTTGAAAACATAGTTGCCCATCACATCTGACCATTCCTGTGTGTATTTTCCTGAAACAAGAACATCCTCCTACAGTCACCTCACAACATATTTGCTCACACAAACATATGTCTCTCCTACATATTTTCCATATGTGCTTATTATTCCATGAAGAGAAAAAGCAATGTACATAGAAGTCAAAATGCTTGACTCAGAATGCACTTAAATGTACATGGAGGTGACTACTGCCTTCTGAAAACCTTTCTATTACCACCTTCTCCCAAGCTAAGCATCCCAGCATCGCTCTACTGATGCTGGAAATTCTATCAATAGAGTTGATTTACTTGAATTTACCCTATTAAGTAAGTGAACAGAAGGATGAAGGGTAAATACTGTGGTCTTAGGAGTTAAACAGACCTACGTTCCAATGCCAATCTGCCATTGATAATCAGGCAATCCCCTAAACAGACAAAAATGCCAGATTTTAACATTAAAATAGGCCTATCTTATATGACTATTGTGAACTCCAGACATGTCGAACTTACACAGCTGCTATACCAAGCAAGCCCCTATGTTGCTAATTATTACCAGTATGGGTTGTCACACGATTTTTCTTAAAATGCAAACATATTTTGAAACAACTCTTTAAAATATAAATACATACTAAGCAACTAACGATGTGTAAATGAATTTGCTAATTCTTTCTACAGGACACAATAAAAAAAAGCAATATAAGAATACTGGTAGCCTGGAGGATGATGTAATRTACAAAAGAAAAATAGGTCCACAAAGAGAAGCAGTAAATTTCAGGAACAATTGTTCCCTATCTGACTGTGCATGTAAAGCAAATCTTTTATACCATCCCAGGCCCTTTGATATTTTTTCAAGGCTATTACCTCTTTGGTTGTGCTGGGCCATGCCACTCCATTTTGAAGTACAGTATAACAAAATATAGAAGTAGGTAACATGCAATAATTTYCCCAAAATTATATAAAAGCATATGAGTCAATAAATATGAGCCAATATAAATTAATAGGAAATGCTGCTGATTTCCAGGATTTGATTAATACATATTATATACATGTATCTAAATATCAGACTATATGCCATAAATATGTAYAATTATTGCATTTGTTTGTTTGTATTACAGGTGATCAAACCCAAGGGTACTCTGGCATTCTATCACTGAACGAATCCTTAGTCCATTTTTTTTTTAATTTTGAGATAGGGTCTCCCCAAATTGGAGAGGCTGGTCTTGAACTTGTAATCCTCCTGCTTCAGCCTCCCAAGTCACTGGTATTACAGAACTGTATCACCACACCCAACTATATATACATGTTAATCAAAACAATTTTAAGTGTGTAAAGAGATGGTAATGTTAACAATTCCATTTGATCATTAAATGCTATATATTCATATTAAATTATGACATTGTATGCCATAAATTTATATGGTTAAAATAAAATATATTTTTAAAGAATTAAAAGGAAAAGCTGTTATTGATAAGGTCTAATTGCCATTTTCAGAAAAATAATTCAGTAAGAGTAAAAACTGGGGAGAGTTTTCTTATTCAAATTTGTAGATGTGTGTCAATAGCCTCCATATGTTTTAATGGAGGTTTCATAATAAAAAATGACCAAACACATTTATGTATACAGGCAATTAGGAATACAACTGATTAAAATACTTTGTTCTGGAATTGTACATTTTTTATATAAAAATGATTGAGAACAGATAGTACCAATGAACATTTCGCCTTCTCTAGTCCAAACTTTCTCATATTAAGAATACATTCAAAGTGAAAGATGACAGATAAAAGCAGCAATAAAACATCATCAGAAGACGAAGCCTTCAGAAGTTCAAATATAAAGTAAAAGACAGGCAGAATTCTTGATGTGTTTTCTGCATTTTATGAGTGTACTTTCTATGACAATGAAATATTTATTTTTCTTTCAATTATAATTGCTTCTTATTTCTCTTTATCTTCACTTCACAACTTGTTTCCTGATGTAATTGCTTGGCTTTTCTTTCATGATCCAGAATTTCTTTGGGGAACAGGTTTTTTTCAACAAATACAGCTTTCAAAGCTACAAAATGATGAAGAAAATGACATGTAAATTACATTTGGTAAGAGACCCAATTCAATGAAGTGGTGGGGAGAAAATGCTCAAGTTTTCTTTTTCAAAACAATCGAGTGTTTCTAAAACCAACAGTATATTTGGGAAAATGTTCTCTGAGTTTCTGCTATTTGTTTCATTGCAATTTAAATTTAAAAGTTAATTTTTAACCAAGTTTGTTCTACTAATGCATTTCTATCATGATGGAGATCTGCCTGGTAAAAGTAGAGACAAAAGGAGTGTGTGCTTTTCAGTTTTGTTTTTTAATCTACTTAACAGTTATCAAGGACTTGTAAAAAGCCAAGAACAAATTATTCTGTATTGAAATAAGACAATTAAAATAATCAAAACACAGTTTGACTATCTGCATGACTAAACCCATGCATCTGCAATCACATCCTTATAAAATACTTTGATCTGCAGGGTTCTGTGGCTTCAGAAAAAAAGAGCCAAATTACCCCTATGAATAGGTATATTGTTCATCAGCAAGAAGTGGGAGGAAATTGTGCCACCCATTCAAGAAATAATTTTGGCCTTTTGAGTAATTTTATCATTTAAATGAATGCTTATTGGATGTATATTGTGCATAATGTTCTGTGCTCAGGCATAAGTGTGGCACAAATATGACTTAAGTTACGGGCATTTTTCTAACTGGTAGAATGTAGAAACAATATCCATGTAACCAAAATATCATACACAATATATATAGTTTAAAGAGAATATAGGAACATAAATCATGCATGATCCTGTAAAGAAATTATATAGAGATCAGGTAAAAAGACTTTAAGAATTAGGTACTATTTTGTAGGCCTTAAAATCCAGATAGGATTTAATTAATAATAATAATAATAAAAACACTTAGAGGTGAAGAAGGAGTGGCATGGAGAACAGAAATGTACACTATTGAACAAAGTAAATAAATGTTCAGGGCATCAGGAGCTGCTATTAAGGTGAATAGATCATTCTGTACAATTTATTTATTTATTTATTATTTTTTTATTAGTTGTTCAAAACATTACAAAGATTCTGTACAATTTAATAGAAGCATAAATATAAGAGGTCAAGTGGAATGAATTTGGAACTCTACTGAGGAGCACTTTAAATGTAAAACCAAAGAGAAAGAAAAAAAAAGYAAATGCAGAACAACTTTATAATACAGTGGCATCTTTATATATTAGTACTTAAAAAAATACTTCTCTGTATTAGCTTTATATCACTGTGCCCAAAATCCCTGAGAAGAGCAACTTAGAGAAGGAAAAGTTTATTTTGGCTTAGGGTTTCAGAGGTTTCAATCCATGGTCAGTTAACTCCATTGCTCTGGGCCTGACTTGATACCGAACACCATAGTGGAAAGGCATGGCAGAGGACAGCTGCTCAGCTCATTGCAGCCAGGAAGGGGAGAGAGAGAGAGAGAGAGAGAGAGAGAGAGAGAGAGAGAGAGAGAAGAGAGAAGAGAGAGAGAAGAGAGAAGAGGCCAGGGACAGAAATAGTCTAAGGCCATGTCCCCAGTGACCTCCTTTCTCCAGGCATGTCCCACCTTCCTACTGTTACCATCCAGTAATCCATTCAGATTATTAATCCAGCAAATKAATTAATCCACTGATGAGATCACAGCTCTCATCACCCATCTTTTACTAAAAGCCCTACCTCTGAATCTTGCTGCACTAGGGACTATGTTTCAAAGCAAGATTTCAGATTCAAATCAACACTCTTACTTCAAGTACAAACATGGCTGCATGTCTATATCTTTCTCTTGTTTCCTGGAAATTATAGAAGAACAATCAGGAAAATGAGGGAAAATAACTCTTCCAACAAATTCAACTTTCAGAAAATTCAGAGATGTAATCCACTGCCTACAACATAAGAAGAAGAGCCAACAGCTGAGACTGGGCAAAAATTGCACAAGAAAAAAAAATATAGCATAATAAGACCACAAGCAGCATCTCAGAAAGTGTTGGCCAAAAGATGCTCTTTGAAGGTGAGTATCACTCTGAAGTACAGTGATTTATCCTTCATTTTTACTTGTAAATGCTGAGAAGAAGTGAAGAAGGCTAGAGGCAGAAGTCTCCCTGGCCTGGTTTGGTTCAAACAAGCAGAGGAGGTACAGCTACCTGAAGTATTTATTACACACATGAGTCATTGCTTACTAAAACCAGTCTCCATGGGTCGTAAAAACCCRAAGGCTCCTTAATCCCATATCCCAACTCCTCACCTACATCTACTGCATGTTTCAAGTTTAAGAAAGTCCAACTCATTAAACTAATTAAAAAAGAAACATTTAAAGACTAGCATAGTATGAACATGAAAGTATTGTTAGCCAAAACCAGAAACAAATCAAATTGAAGAAAAAAACAACAGAACTAAATACAAAGACCACCACCAAAAAAAATGTGGCCATTGCCACATTTTATTACCAAGCATTTAAAAAAATTAAATATAAAAACTTATAGAAGAAATTGCATCTATGAAGGACCACCATTGTGTAGAAGTGAAAGAACTCAGGGAAGAGATAAAGACATGAGAGAAAGTAATGAAATGTGTGCAAGCAGAAAACAGGGAAAAAAATTTTAAAAAACACAGTGGAGAACAGAGTGGGAACACAATAGAGTATATAGAGTATAAAACAAGAAAAACAAATACAGCAAGTGAAATTTTAAGAAAAGAATGAGAGAGTAAAAGAATATTGAAGAGAGTCGAAAATAGATCTAATGGGGTATGCAGACAGGAAGAAGAATAAATCTGACATTATTAACCTATGTATATATATGACTATGTATATATATGTATATAACCTACGTATATATATGTATATATATATACATATAACCTATGTATATATATGATTCTACATCATGTACAACCACAAGAATTAGAAATTATACTCCATTTATGTATGATGTATCAAAGTTCGTTCTACTGTCATGTATAACTAATTAGAACAAAATTTAAAAAGACATGAAAAAAGAGATCTATTAATAAACACATAATTGAAGTCAATTCTTAAGGAAGAAAAAYAAAGTATAACAAACATTTAAAGGTCATCACTTAATACAACTTTTAACAAATAAGAGACAAACTGATTGTATACCAAAGGTCAGAATTCTAAGACATAGAAGATATAGGTTAGCAAGATTATTTAAAGATAAAGAATCACTTGGAATCCAGAAAAAATGATCAAGTGATTTAAAGGATAAAAGGTATCTATATTTCATTAGATATCTTCGTGGGAATAATCAATGCCAGAAGATAGTGGAGCAGTACCTATRGAATAATTAGGGAAAGAATTTCCTGATTATAAAGATATATATATCCAAACAGCTCTTCAAATATAAACATTATAAATGACTTCAATATTCAAGGAATTCAGGGACTGTCATTGTCAAGAGTGATTTTGGGGAAAATTACTAAAAGATAAACTAAGAAATGACTGAGGAAAATCTGAAAGAAAAAATAAGAGGTGGCGATTATAAAAATATTTATAAAAATATAAAAGTAAGATGTAGCTGAGTGCAGTGGTGCATGCCTATAATCCCAGAGACTCAGGAGGCTGAGGCAAGAAGATTGCAAGTTTGAGTCCMGTCAACAACTTAGCAAGATGAGACCATATCTCAAAATAAAAAATTAAAAGGGCTAAGGATGTAATCCACTGCCTACAACATAAGAAGAAGAGCAAACAGCTGAGACTGGGCAAAAATTGCACAAGAAAAAAAAATAGTTAAGTTCCCCTGGATTCAATCATCAGTACCCAAAAACAATAATAAACATAAGTTCTAAATAATGTGTTGTTCAGGATGACAAAATAGAAAGTAAATGCTATATGCCCAACAAATGTAGAAATKATACAGTTAAAAATTGGAAGAGTTACAGAGAAAGCAGCCTAGATCATGATAAATTAAAGACAAAGACCATCATTTAAAATGTTTAAGTAATAGCAATATAAACCAACTTAACAAAATAAGCATAAAGAAAGGTCATATAATTAAAAATCATTTAATATAAATGATATGATACAATCATATCATATAAAATTTTATAGAAGATGGGGAGAATTAAAAAATATGTTCATTTTATCATCACTCAGCAAGTATCTAACAGTCACTATTCTAGAGAAACAAAGAACTAGAGAATCATATGAACCAAAGAATATTAAAGTAACCTCTAGAACAAACACACACTTTCCAAATAAAAACAAAGGGAAAAYTACGGACCCAGAGAAAACTGTAAAAATATATAAACAATAAATAGCATAAAAGGCTGTTATTTTTTAGATTAGGTATCTTTCGAAAGCTCATGTGTGAGACAATGCAAGAAAAGTTTAAAGATGAAGTGATTGAGTTATGAAAGGTWCAGCCTAATCATTAATGCATTAATCCCCTRACAGGGATTAACATGGATGTACCTTTAAGTAGGTAGATTGTGGCTGGAGCAGGTGGGTCCCTGGGCACCTGCCCRTGRGGTTTATATTCTGTCCTTGCAGAGSAGAGCTCTCTGTCTGCTTCCTGAGTGCCATGTTCCCACAGCTTTCCTCTGCCACATTCTTCTGCCGTGATGTTCTGTCTCACTTCACGCCCCAAGGAACAGAGCCAGCTGTCCAGCCATCTATGCATTAAGACCTCCAAAACTGAGAGCCCCAAATAAACTTTTCCTACTCAAAATCATTCTCGTCAGGTCTTTTGATCACAGTGAGCAAAAGCTGACTAAAACAAAGACTCTGAGAAATAAAATCAATATGTCCACCATGTCTGACATATCAATACATTGAAATGTGCTCAATTTTCAAATTTTTTGCAGAAAAGAATTTTTCATTGGGTAAAAAGAAAAACTCAATACACATTAAAAATCAGCTGACACTGGAATTTTTAAATAAAAGGATAAGAAAAGTATAACAGACAGATAAAAGCCAAAGGAAAACAGGCAAAATCTAAAAGCATAAATATATACAGAAACCCTAAGAGGAATATACAGAAACT